AATGGGACAGGCGGAAAATAAAAAAAAAATAAAAAAAAAAATAAATAAATAAATAAAATAAAAATAAAAAAATTTGGCAAGTCTTTGACCAAAGTTTTGAATTTCCCATAGTGTAACGTTTTCAATGATGCTGTGAAAGAAGAATCATGTAATCCAAGGCCAGACTTATTCTGAAGCCAACCTATAAAACAGAGCAAAAAGGAAAAGATAATAATAAAGTAAAAAGAACTCTTCTGCTCCTTAAGAGTTCACTCATAGTACCATTGTGTGTGGTGTTAAATCTGACCGAACATTAACAGATTTGATTGTTCTAAATAAACACGGTGAAACTAAACTTTTCATGAGTAAAAGCGGCACAGAAATGTTGAGGAAATGTGCCTGACTACACTATTGCACGTTTATCCCAACAGTTCCATAACATCAATGTTCAGGTTTCAAAATATAATAGACCATATACTGCACACACACATTTATGTTAACCCACTGCATGTCATATTTCATCCTAAATCCAGTATTTGGCTGGGTTCTCTACTAATGGGATTGTTCATGAAAGTGAACCTTGTGTTAACTTTCAGTGATATTGCTTCCTTTTTCTTGAGTTGATATTCCTACAACCAGGACCCTTTGGCTTACAAACCTGCCTCTGGAATTAGAAAGATAACATTGTCTGAGTTAATTAATTAAAGATATAACTTTGCTCCCTGGTGTTCTTCCTGTTCTCCCCCTGCCAGGAGGCAGCTTCCCACTCTCGCTGTCTGAAATTATAAATAATTTTGGCAATAGGTCCAGAGCATGGGGAGGATAAATGAATCCATGGTTAAAAAGTCTTTCCAAAGCTTTGAGATGTTATGAAAGTAACTCAAAAATGTGCCTTAAAAGTTGACCTTCATCTATTTTGGAAGAAGATGGATCCATTGGAAAGGAAAGACTCGGGGACATTTCTTTCATCCGTGTCTAGGAGACTTTTTACCTTGTAGATTGTCACTAACACTTTAAAGCCTTTAAAAATTAAAAGAGAAGCAATCAATACTTAATAAACTAAAATTACTGAAATTATAGTGAGCTTCCTTTTAAGAACAACAGATGGGAGTTACTGCAGCTCCTCAGGCCACACATGCATTTAAGCATATTTGTAAAGAACTGTAAACCGCTCAGAAACATGTTTGGTGCAGCCTTGTGTCAGTTTCCAATTAGCTCAAAGGATTTAAGTGAAAAATCTCAGTATACATCAGCCTCACGAACCATCCTGCTTTTCATTTCCCCAAAAAGCTGAACCAACCCAAACAGCACTACTTTTAACTACTTTTAATTAACGACTAAGTTAATGAGTGGGTAAGGAAATTGAATTAGAGAGGACGTGTGGAAGCTTTTTAGTTGCCAAATCTTTAAGCCGTGTGATATTTTCACTGCTGTAAGAACGGACTGAAGCAGGTTTTTATACGAATGCCTCACATCTGTAGGAGTTTGGCCAGCTGATATTATAGTGTCTCTTGGTTAAGTTGTTGTGTGCATTAAGTGAAGTCAGAGGTAAACATAATTAAGCAGAACAAACTAACTTGACCTTTTATTTTTAAACTCAAGGAAACGTAGAAATATCCGGCATTACAAGTGTACAAGGTCATTCTCAAAAGTGATTTTATACTCATTTTGTTTTAATGACTATCGCCTTCATTGGAGCTAGTCAATTTAGCCTTCAGTATAGGGTAAATGTAGCTAATAGGATCCAAAGGTTAGCAGCCCACTTTGACTTTTTACTGATGTATTATTTGTGACAGCTGAAATGCTGTCAATTTGAACAGGTTTCCTGTGTGTGGTAATCAGGCTCTCTGGTGCTAGCTGGAATTTCTAGTGAAGTCTTTGTGTGTCTATGATTCACGGCAACGGTCCCAATTAGTTGAATATGCCTTTCTGCAATCCAGAACTGAACTGTTCCTGTGAACAGGAGAATTGTGTTTTCTCTTACCAACTTACCGTTCACCCCTAAACTTTTTGATTAGGCAAATCCAAAACCTTCACTTTGATTTTTGTGAGCTATTCAGAGGTTGACTGGTGGGCTGGTGTGTTTCACTGTCCTGCTGTATTACTGAAGTGCACTTGACTTTCAGAGCACAAACTGATTGCCGAACATTCTCCTTCAGGATTTTCTGTGGAGAGCAGAATTCATGGTTCCTAAAGCAGCCTCAGACCAACACACAACTACCACAATGTTTGAGAGTTGATATGTTATTTTTGTGAAATGCTATGTTAGTTTTATACCAGATATAACACAATGTGAAGATTCTCGTGAGTCCACAGAATATTTTCCTAAAAGTTTTGGGGATCATCAAGATATTCTCTGGCAAATGTGAGACAAGCCTTTGTGTTCTTCTTAAATTTTGCCTGACTCACCGGTGGGTGCCTTTTTTTGCCCACTCTCTTGCTTATTGTTGAATTAATAAATTCTGACCTTTATGGAGGCGAGTGCAGCCTACAGTTCTTTAGATATTCTCGGTTCTTTTGTGGCTTCCTGGACAAGTCGCCTATGTGCTCTTGGAGTCATCTTGGTAGGCTGGCGACTCCTGAGAAGGCTCACCACTGTGGATAATACCTCACACTGTGATTTACTGGAGTCCTAAAGTCTTAAAAATGCCTCTGTTGTATTTTTCAGGTGAATAGATTCAAAAGACTATTTCTCAGCTGTTTCTTTAGATCATGGCATTGTGTGTTGCTTTTTTGAGGTCTTTTAGTGTATTTCATTTTGTATAAATCTGAATTTGTTCTTGTGTGGACACAAGATGGGTGATTCTAAACAGACGTTCTGTGTTTTAAAAAACAACCAAAGGACCTCAGAAAGTTCGAGCTATTGGCGCCAATGGGAAAGACTAAGAAATGGACACAAATAATAATTTCCAACCTTTGCATTTCAGCGTTTTCAAATTATTTGATTGGAAAGGACCTTGTCCTTTTGAAATTTGTCACAATTAACAGCACAGCTTACATCACTGTAGGGTATGTTTTTAATGATGTACACTACTACATTAGGGTATGGTAGAGGAAATAATAATACATTTTATTTATAGGCGCCTTTCAGACCCTCAAGGTCACCTGACAATAGTACAAAACATTAGCAGCAACACAATATCATAAGATATAGCAAAATAAAATGTAAACATAAGGTAAATGAGAAAAAAAAACAAGCGTTAAAGTATAAAAGCTAAGCAAGAAAAAAAATAGACTAAGACGGGGTCAAGGGTATGCAATTCTGGATAGATGGGTTTTGAGACGTGATTTAAAAGTAGAGAGAGAAATGCCCAAACCCTCGCTCAATATTTAGAGGATGTTCATAAAAGAAACAGATGACTAATTTTGAAATACAGGGTAAAAGAGATGTAGACTCAACAGTGCCTCCAATATGTGCAAGTGTTCAATATTTACAAAGTCATACAACCAGCAGACATTTTCTGTTGAACATGATATAATCCTACAAATCACAATACATAACATACATACCATAGCAGACCAGGCTCTATCTCTGCCATCATGTTTAAAAGGGAGTCACACTAACTGTAGGACACTCTTCAACTGAATGAGATGCCCTTTGTTTTTTAGAGTGGATTCACAGAGTAAGTTTTTGGACATACCACTGTAGGGACTTCTCAGTAATGGATAACTATGCATAACTTTCAGTAATTTTCTTTTTTGTAGCAAGCTAGTAACATCTTAGCCGAAGTCTGTCTATGAAGCACAGAAGTGTTCTTCTGCTCTCTGAGGGAGATAAACAGATGCAGGCCTGTTCAGCAGCACAAGGTGGATTTAGCATCCCGTGCCGAAGGCCATCATTCACAGACAGCTGCTATTAGAATGATAGTGCCTAGCCAAATGCTATTCTGCGTCCCTTCCATTCCTCTGTGGTGCTCTGCTCGTCTGCGTCGATTGGCAACACCTTTGGAGTGAGCTGAAGTGCTAACACTACTCCTCGTCTTGCTGCCTGGCGCGCCCCAAGAATGTTTCCTCTTTTGCACTCTGAAAATATGGCTAGGAGCCACAACTGATGCCTGGAAATGAATAATAAACTGTGTGAGGACTCCACAGGGCTGAGCAAGAACACGTGCTTCAGCGGAATTTTGGTTTCTTGACAGGTTGCGATTTGGGCATTTGCGTACCACCCTGCAGGATCTTGTCTCAGCTGGTGCAAGCTTCTGAGGGACCTTCTTGTTTGGATAACTTCTTTGTTGGTTATTTTCTTTCTTTCTTTTTTAAATTATCCTTGTCTGTTTTCATTAATTTGCTCCCTCCATTTTTTTTAATCATTGTTATGCTTAAACTGGGTATCATCACATAACTCAGCTTTACAAAAGCTTGGCTTCAGGGCCAATGACATACTCTTTTGATTTACTTTTGTTCATTCTGTCAGAAAAAGAAGAAAAGCTCAAAAGATTAGAGGAAACTTGGTTACAAATTCTGTCTTCTACTCCAATGTTTACTCTTTTGATCTCATTTGATTTCTTTTCTTTTTTTAAATGACTGAACCTGGTTTGGTTTCCAGGAGTTGGTGCTACAGTAGTGACAAAAAAGGTCAGTTTCAGGCACTTCAGTTATCATTTGTTGTCCCTAACCTATGTAGTGGCTTTCCTGATTTACATAAATTAGTTAACTTTACTTGGCCAGAAAATGTGTGTTTTGCTATTTTTTCTTTATTTTTGAATTACCATTAATTGTATGATGAAAATACATTGCATGGTGTTAGACATTAAGTTTGGAATATTGATTTTTAAACGCTCATGCAAAACTAAATCTGTTATCTTGGAGAACTGGACAGTAATTACAATATGGCACACTTCAATTAGCATGTCTATGTCTGTAGGTGTATGACTTCTCCCATTGTTATAAACACTTTGAAGACCTGGAATAGGCGAGTCTGATGGAGGTGTTGGTGGTGCAGCAGGGTCAAGGAGCAATGCCAGGGAGGCTTGCAGAGAAGCTGAAAGCAATTCAATAATTGCGCTCTCCCTGTTCCAGAGATGCCGGGACCTGGAGGAGAGGAAGAGCAGCTGGCAAAAGCTGGAAAGCTGTTGGGACAATGAACTGAAAAACTTACAATTGTAAAAAAACAAACCTTACTGGAGTCTACAGTGAGTATAAGTAAGTTTTTGTAGTCTTGTACAACATGCAGAGTTTATTTATTTTAAAATAAATAAATATTTATTTATAATATAATTTATTTATAATAATAAATAAAGTACAACATCTTGCTTCTAAGAAATCTAAAACGCTGTACAATACAAGTACAACTTTTATTTTTCAAAGTAGTATTAGAAACTTATAGTTGATATTTCACTGATGATTACTTACCTTTAAATTTGAATGAATTTACAATAAGTGCCTTTATCATTTAGTATATTCTAATAATATTCAAAATATATATATTCAAAATACAGAAGCCTCCTATAATGGTGCGTTCACACCGAACGCGATAGAAGCAACCAAAAAGCGCCACACGCCACTAACTGGTCGTTTGCACAGTTGCACCTTGAAGCGCGTCCAAAGCGAACTGGTCGCGCTTTAAAATATGCAATTTTCACTCACGTGAACTGTAAATGTGGGAGCAAGTAGTGCCAGCCGGTATGTTTGCAAGACGGCAGCTGTCAATATAGCGTTTGAAGAGAGAGTCTCCCTTCTCCATTTACTGTGGAGAGCAGAGCAGCGGCGTAAAGGATGTCCTCCCCGTACCTGGGTCCATCAGGTCCTTCACAAGCGTGAGCAATTTGGTGAGTTTCACCACTTGCTCCAGGAGCTGCATCTGGATGACGGCCGCTTTCAGCGGTACCACCGTCTGTCCCTCGCCCAGTTTGAAGAGCTGCTGTCCTGCATCGGTCCAAGCATCGCCCGCCTAGACACCAACTACAGGCGCTCAATCCCACCTGCAGAGCGCCTGTCCATCTGTCTGATGTTAGTAAAAGTTTATAATATGTGAGCGGCGCAGGACGTGCTGGGGTGGAGCCATCAGGCCTTGGTGTCCGGATGAGGAAGCTGTTCATGGCTCACTTCTTGACAGAGAGAGCTGGAACTTGGCAGCCACAACGGCTCTTTTAAGAGCCACCCACAAACCTCTTAAGAGCTTTCCTTTCTAAACAGTTTAACCTCTTTATAATGTTTATTTTTTTATTCTTGTCTCTGTATAGAAAACAGCTGGTGTCATGTAGCTCGGGCTGATTAGCCACGGTGTTTATCAGTATCCATGTCCTGCTGATGCTGTGACTCCATTCACTCAGTCACAGCATCACTGACACCTATCACCTGATTGGTTGTCGTGGCGCGACTTGACGCTGGAGTTCAGATTTTCCAACTTGAGCGGCACATGCAATAAGCGCGAATGCACAAAATGCACCACATAAAATGCAGCGCGTATTTTACTTCGTGCTTCAAACGCTTCAGTCGCACTAATTGTTCGCGCGAATCAGACAGAAAAGCATTTTCGTGCCGCAAATCTACTTCTGAAGTTTTGCGGGACCCCCAGTCGTGCTTCATCGCGCTTCTCCATTGACCTTACATGTAAACCTGACTCTTTGGTTGCTTCTATCACGTTCGGTGTGTACTAGACTAGTGTTAGACATTGATTTTAGACCAGAAAAAGGGAAAACATGGAAAAATGTTCTTTAAAAAAATAGTAGCACTAAGCAACAGAACATGTCCAGCAAACTAAAAATGTGATAGAAAGCTAGTAAGACTTTTTTCAGCCTCTGAATATTTACTGTAAATTAATGGACTGTATGGTCCACCCTGATGATGGTGGTAGAGACAATAGAGAAATCAAGAAAGTGCTAATGATCCAAAAATGTAATGAAAGCCAGATCAGTAATCTTGGTGCTGCACAAAACCAGCCAACAGTGCAACCAAGAAGAACTGGACTTTACAATATTTCAAAATTTTCTATTAACTTCACCATCTACAAATACCTCACAGAACTATGCCATGTCTGAAAGTTGTAGATTATTGAACAGTTCCTGATGCCTAACCTGAAATTCATCAGGAATGGTCTGTCCTCATCCAGCAAATAGCTCAGCTATAAAGGAAAATCCACCCACACTGTGTAGCCATACGCACTTGGGGGGCGCAGCCAGGCTAGTCAGCCAGTAACATTTACCCTCAGTGATACTACACCTTTCTATCTTTAGCCTGTGGCAATATGTGGATTGTGATTAATCGACAGGTTCCTGTAAACTTGAGCATGAACATGTAACAAGTAATTGTCGATTTGTGTCATTACTAAACCACATGTTAACATGAAACATTTTCTAGGGAAACATTGAAAATCAGGCAAAAGTCCTTTTTTTAAAAATATATTTAGAGGCTGCGTCACAGCTATGTTCATATCCATCCAACAATCAACTTTCAATTTGACTCAAATCCACTAAGCATGAGAGTGCCAGACGAAATATCAGATTGCAAATCCTGTAGGACTCCACAGAAAAACAATATTCTGTTTAATTTTGAACCGGAACGAAAGACCAACACTGCCATCCTTAGGGCCATTTAGCTAGCATGTTTGAACAGAAGTTTAAATTATATTATTATTTTTTTCCATATATGTGAAACGTGTAAACCTCTCTGCTTTGGCAATTTTCTAAGAGTGAAAAGATAAAAAAACAGCATTACTATTAGAGGTAGATGTTTATTAGTCAAGAAAAAGTCAAATGGACCAATTCTCCCGACTTAAATAACTCACACTCTCTTGAACTCTTAGATTTGAGCTCACCACCCAAACATGAAGATCCAAGAGATGATATTGTTGAAAGGCACTATAGGTAGTGTTTGAAGTAAGTACATAAGGCCTCAAAGGCAACCTGAATGAAGTAGTTTGCAATGTCAGCATTAAGGAATAGCTCCTCTTGTGCTGTGCTTGTAATGTGATGGCCAGCGAGCACTTGTTGTAATCTAGACTTTAGAATAACTAGCAGGGTTGTGCCAGAGACCTATTATATTAGCTTTGTATGAAACTATATCCCAGGTTGAAAACCTGTATTTAAAAGTTGATTCTCAAAAGTTCCAAAGCCCGGAAACCAAAGTCAACCTTCTGTCTTCAGAGATTTAGATAAATATTTCATTACTACTGGGTTTTTCCTTCTCACTTTTAGCCTTTTGGCTACTGATAATTTAGGCACCGAGACTATAACAGCAAGCTACAGCTGTGATTATAGTGAAGTTTCTTCTATAGTATGTTCTTTGTTTTGTTGGATTTCTTTTTTTTTTTTAATTTATAGTCTTCACTTTACTGAACAAAGGCTTTTAAACTAAAGTTCCAGAGATAAAACCTAACATCAAAGCCAGGAAACATGTGTTCTGATCCATAAAGAAGACTATTATCAAAGATAAAAGAATAAGAAAGGGATGTAGGAACAGCAGCAGCATTGAAGGGATGCATATCAAACAAATGCACACAATGTATTTACTAAAAGATGCAGCAAAAAACAAGAAATAATTTACCAACTATTCTGTTAGGCTACACCGAGTGAAGAGGAGCTGAAACAGCTTGAAAACAATTATAGAGACAATATCCTGAGGAACATTTCCCAGGTTATTCGTCTATAAAATGTGGTTATTATACCTTCCAAAAGGAGCCTGTACATGAGATGGATATTTGTGAACAGTTCAGTTCAGCAGAGATCCTGGCCTTCAGTGTCACTTACACTTTATTAACTGATGAGAGATCATTTGGTTTTCCATGAATTCGATGCAGGGCAATCTTTCCTTACAAGGCTGACATATGAGGCATATAAGTCTGTCCGTTATTTCCCTTGGCAGACCTGCAAACACAGATGTCGTTAGTCCGAGTAGATCATTGATCAGGTGACATTGATCCCATGATTACCCTGCTAAGGACAGCCAGTCAGAAGAAGGGTGACTTAAAGAGAGTGTGGCCTTAAAGAGGGGGAACTGAACATACTGCTTCAGACAGTTGATGAACCAAGATTGTCCAGCTGTAAAAAGCTGATGGGGTCACCCCATCGGCAGGCTGGCGGACTGGCAGGCCAACCGCCATGGACATCCATTTTTATAAATATGATAACTTGAGAATGAAGGCATGTTGGATTTCCAAATAAATACCATAAGTGCATCTACTAAAAATCTTGGAAAAGTTTGATTTTAAAAACCTTGTTAATGCGATAAAACATGAGAAACATGCAAAGCTACAGTAATAAAGCTAAAACATATAGCTGTCACGGTGGCTGACTGAGGTACGACCCAAAAACAGGATTCAGACCACAGGGAAGAAATGAATAGATAATTTTTAAACTAAATTACAAAATAACAAAACTAGGAAAAACAGACAAGTACAAATACTCCAAGGAAGACACAGCATATAGCAGTGGCGAATGGAGACAACATGTACACAAGGAGGATAACGAGCGAAGAGGCCACAGGTGGGACACAGCTGACACTTATGACTGACAAGACAGGGGAAACATAAGACCATCAAAATAAAACAGGAAGTACAAACACTGAGACCAAGACATATGGGCTTGACACATGGGGAGAAAACAGACAGACATGGGTACATGACTGGGAAAGCTGAAAGACACAGAGATGAGACTACGGAAGACTGAGCTCAAGAGAGACTAATATAGAACTAGTACATAGCCCATAACAGGACCATGACATATAGCTATGGATTAGAAGATTAGCTTAATAGGTTTCTTTGAAGATTGTGACGTTCACCGAATTTAAGTGATTCTTTTTTATCGAAAGTTAGAAGCAGTTTTTGGTGTAATGCTAACAAACAAGAAAGGACTTGAGGCTCCACCTCAGCTCTCCACAGAGCAATGACCTGAATCATCCATGTCGTCAGTTCAGCTGCTACACTTTTATGGTCCTCATATTGTGCTCTGCTGACTCACTACCAGAAAACCAAGGCTTGCTGGGATGATTTCTGATGTTATTTCCATTTTGGGATAACAAATAAAGAATGTAGGTCCTTTCTACAGCTACTTTTATATATTTGATTCATAACTTGTGAACACTGGTAAAAACAGCTTGCAGGAAGTAGCCACCACTGACAGCTCTTGATTCTTTGCAGAATTCTCTCATTAGCCTCATTAGTTAAAACATTAGAAAGTCTAATAAAAATAGCTTGTACTGTGTGGTAGCTTGCCAATATACTTCCCTTGACTTAAATCTGAGTCTTTCACTGATTTGGTTTAATCTCATCATCGGCAGGATGCCCAGGATGTCCTTTCTGCTCTTGGTCACCCATCTGATCACGCCTACACCAATAGCACTCCTGCCAATCCCATCAATCAGCTTTGAGGCATCAACTTTCCCATTTAGCTCAGCAGCTAATTGTCAAAGAGGATGTGGAGCAGAAGGAAATGTTTTAGCTAAGCCTGCACTATAATTAGCAACCAACCTGGTGTTCTTCCAGTGTCTTCCAGAAGTGCTACTCCTGTCTAATTAGAGTCATTCAAACCTCTGCCGCATTGACAATTACATGCTGTGCTCCTTTTCCTTTTAGCTGTGGCACAAGTGGCGATGCTGCTCATCATCACTTGTGCCACAAGTAATGAATGCCATTTTAGAAGCACGAGGAGCATGTTTTAAGGGGGAAATCTTAGTCTGTGGGAGGGGCCATCACCCCAGAGAATGCACTGTCGCAATGATCAAGGCTTAGTCTATAATTGGTTGCTGATGAAATAAAGAATGATAAAAATGATGCCAGCAATGATTCATCCAGTCTTGTGAGAACATACATTTTTGATTCTAATAAACTTGATTAGATCTTTACATGCTCGTGTACTTTTCATGCTTTTGGGTTCTTTAATGTGAGAATGACACTAAACTGCAGTGCAGAAGAATATCAGAAAAAACGCCCGTGGACTTGTGGTCTTGTCAGACTTATTCATGTACCAGAGTATCAGTAACATTTATGTTTTTCTCAGGATGACAA